AAAAAGATTAATGAACGTAGTTACGCTATTCTATTTTTAAAATAATTTTTTATTTTGTATTTTTTTTTACTTAATACGTTCCTTATTTCTATGTATGGTAGACTGAAATTGCTATTATTATGAAAAGGTCATGTGATCTAAGAGTTTTCTCCATTTATTCTAATAAATAAACATAACAGTAAAACTAAAAAGAAAAAACGTTCACTCAGAATTCTAAAAATTGTCATTTATGGTCATCCGTAGTAGCTGTCATCGCTTCGTCAATCAATAATCCATCAAACGTTTGATCAGATGAACAGGACCAATCGTTAATAATTGGTTGTATATTACTTTTTTATGCTATAAGTAAGTAATATTTCTTTCAAATCAGATTAATTTAACTTTAAATTTTCTAATTTTACTAAAATAACGTGTCAGAAATTTTTTAATTATTTTTGAAATTGATAAATTTGTTTACAAATTTCTTAAAATTAAGAAAATGGCCGTTTTTACAAAAATTTAAGAAATCAAAATTAAATTTGACATACCAATGTATATAGTTTCTATCTGAAATACACCAGAATTGTTTACTTAATGGAAATAATAAATTTAATTATTAAACACTTTAAATTAAAATGAAATCTTCAAGAATGTTTTTTCATTTTAAAAAATTCATTTAAAATTTAGGTATCGAAAATTTATATCGAAAAAGTGGAGGTCCCTACTTAATTATGATTATTTCAAATCCTCCTACTTATATACATATGACTTTTGATACTTCAAGAACAACATTGGGCGAAAATGTATCACAAAGTGGGAAAAAGATTTTTGCGTGACTAGTTTCGTCCTTTAGGACTTTCAGTTCGATGAATTGCTAAACGATGAAACGCAATGCACACACACACACTCTCTCTCTCTCTCTCTCTCACACACACACACACACACACACTCACACACACACACACACACATATATATATATATATATATATATATATGTGTGTGTGTGAGAGTTTCTTTTCTCGCAATTCTCGCTCGTCGAACTCCCTTCCGGTTCCATGATTTAAATGCAATGCCAATGGCTATCTACTGTCTTCCTGATTACTCTTTCCTCTTTCTCATTAATAATGTTTCTGTTCCTAATTCCTCCACACCTTGTAACCCCTTGCGCGTTAGTGGTTGTTTTGGTTGACACTGATTTAAAAAAGAAAATAATAAAAGGAAAAAAAAAGATAGATAAGAATAGACTTAGACAGGTAGATAGATAGATATGAGCATAAATAAATAAATAAACAAATATACGTAGAGAGATAGAAACAGAACGAGAAATATATATATAGATAGATAGATATGAACAAACGGATATATATATATATATATATATATATATATATATATATATATATATATATATATAGATAGAGAGAGAGAGAGAGAGAGAGAGAGACAGAAAGAGAAAAATGAAATGAATGAGACAGATTTGAAAACCTGTTTATCTTTCAAAGGAAATGTTTTCCTTGTTTATTTGTATTTTGATTTTTTGATAATTGCGAAATCCGTTTTGTTTTTATTCGCCCATCACGCTCGGGTTGTACACGTCACGGTCTTTCACTAAATTTTCTCATAATTTATTTCTGTCTCTCTTTCTAATTTAGCACTGTTTTACTTGAGCCAACTAAGGCGAGGCTCGACATAACGTTGTCGCCTGTTGACGACTTGCGACGTCCCTTTTTAAGTGGAACAGCCAGAAGCGTACCGTTTTTCGGGACGCTGTCTTTACTCATGTTTTTGATGGAAGAGAAATCTTTTTTTAAGACAGTTGTCATGTTTTTCGTCACGAAGTGGAAGTTATTTTTTAGTGGTATGTCTAACGTCAGAAGAAAGCCCAAGGGTCGAATAATGAACTCGTCACTAAACAACCCTATATCTGAATAATCTGTAAGGTTAACGTTTAGGGGATAAATGTAGAGATTGTTACGTCTGATAGGCGAGTGCTTATATTCTGGGTTAATACTTCGCTTCTTAATCATCTGTCTCTTCGACGCGCGAATTTAGTCGTCCATTCAGTCGACGAATTTAGTTGTCTATTTATTATTTAGATATAAAACAAAATTACTTTTAAATAGAAAATATTAGATTTGGTTTAATAATGTTTGTGGAATGGTAAAGAAGTTGAAACTAAGGGTAAATTAGGATTTCTTGTTTTGGTTAAATATTCGTCGGCAGCCATTTTCTCACAGATGTGCAATGGCTTCCTTCAGTTTTTTTTCTACAAATAATTTCATGGTAACTACACTGACGAGTTATTTTTACTGGTAGCCCAACTGCATGAATTTAAGCGTGTTACTAGGTTGGCATTTCGGTCCCACACTTTCACTGTCAAAACCGCTTCTTCTATTCCAACAGTTTCTTCTCTTGCACTTCCCGACAGTGGAGCTCCTTCATCCTACTTGCTTCCCTGATAGATATAATCCGACAAGTTCTTTTCTATAATTCCCAGACTGCATGAATTTAAGCGTGCTACTAGGTTGGCATCTCGATCCCACCCTTTCTCTGTCGAAACAGTTAAATGTAACCGCCTCTTCTATTCCAACAGCTTTTTCTCTTGCACTTCCCGACAATGAAACTCCTTTCCTCTTACTTGCTTCCCTGATAGCTATAATCTTTCAATATTCAAGTGTAGAGTCAATCGACATCTTCTGCTGCCTTGATTCTGATTCCCGTCCTTCTCTATATCCATTCCTCAAACACACCTTTTTTTCCCTTACTCTCCCTCTCTGTAACCCCTTGCGTGCTAGTGGCACTCCTACTTTGCTTGGGGTTAAATGCTTTAAAAAAAAAGCTGTGACCAAGGGTTTAGTAAATTATAAAACAATAACAAAAAAAAAAAAAAATTAGCAACCATGTATTTCGTAAAATTTCTGCTATACTAAATTCAACTTTTTCTTTAAAAAAAAAGTTTTTGATTTACATTATCTTAATGCAGACTACTGTCTGCATGTTCCTTGTTATTATCACGTTTCGTCCGTTACACTTTCCGATCTTCTTCAGGTGCAAGTCCATCCGAGTAGCATTCAGGCGATTTCAAACTGAACACTTTATTTAATTTAGAGGGATAGATTGTTCTAATGCCGTTGGCCATGTCTAAGGATATCCCGTCTTGTTCGTTTTTTAGTCCTGCTTTGTTATTGTTCACTGGGTATAGTTCTGTGCTTCTACAAATAAGTACACAAACACTCGCACATATAAATACACATCAAGGAAGCACACATATAAACATATAAACACTCGCACACATAAACACAAAGAAAGGTACATATACAAACATATAGACGTATAAACACTCACACATAGAAGCATCCACAAAATAGCAAATGCTACATAAAATTTCGGGGAAGGAACATGTCAAAAATGTTTCCCTTGTTTAATTTGAAATAGAGGTTTTGGTCTGTTCACCTCACAAAAGGTAGAGTCGTACTATATTGAATTCGGGTGTGCGCTGTTTAAATTCGACGTGATGTATCTGGTTTTGGTTTATGCAATATACGGTTGCATTATGCATGCAACAAATGCAAAACATAAGTAAAAATTTATATTTACATCAATAATAAATACACACTTTTCCCTCAATGGTAGCACAACTCTGAATTTTATACAAAAAATGAAAAAAATATATATTTATTATCTGTCTATATTTCTGAGATGTGGTATTGTAACTATTTACATTATTTGTTCGGAGTGTTGTCCTCATTTTTATTTCCACATTTACGATGTTTTGGCCGTTTTACGCTCCTGCTTTCTTCAGGTTATATTTCTTTGAATTTCGAACGAAACCCTTTATTTAGTTCACGCAGGTAGATTGTTCTAATTCCACGGCAACTGCTTATAGAACAATGTCATATACCAAGCCAGACAACGAAGAGTAGATATACATAGGAATAACTGAAGGATCCTGGAAACAAAGAAACTACGCACAAAAAAAAAAAATCTTTTGAAAATAATAAATGCTCGAACAGTACAATTCTTTCTAAATATATCTGGGAGATTAAAAACAAAAACGAAATCACACCAAAAATATCATGGAAAATAATGAAAAGCGCATCAGTCTACAACAATAAATGCCCAAACTGTAAACTCTGTCTGGAGGAGAAATTAGTTATAATTATCTTCCCAGACCAACACAAATTACTAAATAAATCAGAACTCATCTCATAATACAGATACGAAAAATTAATTTTTACTACGTTACTTAAAAATAAAAAAAAAAATAAAAAGGAACGGAAAAATAAATAAAAAATAAAATAAAAAGTAATTGAATAAAAATAATTAAATGAAATAAATAAGAAATTAAGTAAATAATAAACAAATTAAAATATCTAGGAATATAAATATACACACAGGTAAATATAATAATAACAATCAAGAACATGTTGTAAGTAATGAATGAATAATAAATAAGGAGTAAAATGTTTTAAAATAATTCTATAAAATATCCACAAAAAATCCATGATTATTTCTACTGAATGACCCCAAGAAATTGTCACAGAAAATATTCGTCCTCCGAGAGGAATCGAACCTGTATCCTATACGGAACCGTCATTTAGCCTAACGTGCTTTTACGTGATACAGGTTCGATTCCTGTCGGAGGTCGCATATTTTCTATGACAATTTTTCGGACATTCAGGTCGGTAAATGTTGTTAATACTGTTTATTATAAACAGAGCATTTACTTAAATATTTGTATCTATAAAAAAGAATGTATAAACAAAAATGTCTTAAAATAATTGTCGGACTTTGTTTCATTTATATTTATATATATATATATATATATATATATATATATATATATATATATATATATATATATATATATATTTATATATTTTATATATTGATGCCAATGTTTAGGGTACGATCAAATGGAAAACTCGGAAATCGTGTGTTGTTTTAAAGTATTTATAGGTTCTTCATTTAAGAAATAGATGTAATACAAATCTGCGTCCTGCTTAAACCATGTTCCAGGCAAATTTCGAGCTTATTATCTATCTATCTATCTATCTATCTCAGTCAGTCCATATCTATCTATCTATCTATCTTTCTATCTATCTATCTATCTATCTCAGTCAATCCATATCTATCTATCTCAGTCAATCCATATCTATCTATCTATCTATCTATCTATCTATCTATCTATCTATCTATCTATGTCTGTTCATATCTATCTATCTACCCATCCATCCAATTATCTATCTATCTATCTATCCATCCACCCATCCAATTATCTATCTATCTATCTATCTATCTATCTATCTATCTATCTATCTATCTATCTATGTCTGTTCATATCTATCTATCTACCCATCCATCCAATTATCTATCTATCTATCTATCCATCCACCCATCCAATTATCTATCTATCTATCTATCTATCTATCTATCTATCTATCTATCTATCTATCTATCTATCTATCTATCTATGTTTATTCATATCTATCTATCTATCTATCTATCTATCTATCTATCTATCTATCTATCTATGTCTGTTCATATCTATCTATCTATCTATCCATCCATCCAATTATCTATCTCTCTATACATGTTTGTTCATATCTATCTATCTATCTATCTATCTATATATATATATTTTTTAATATCTATCTATAATTGTCTTTTCATATCTATCTATCTATCTATCTATCTATCTATCTATCTATCTATCTACTTATTGCTAGCCTCATATATAACAGGAGAGGCCGAAAAAATATAGATAAAATACTTATCTGAATAATACGTGTGAATTCATATTTTGGAAGGTTTTTACAAAATAGGAAAGCGTTTCTATTGTAAAGCATTCATTGGCTGAAATTTACCTAAAAAGATTCCTTATTCCTTTTTTAGATATTATGTCGCAGGTGGCGACAATTTCGGTTTTCGTCTCGCAATCCGTTGTTAAAGTGCTAAAGTGATATATGCTTATCTTAACTTAAACAAAACATATTTATTTTATCTATCGAACATGAATTAATGTTAAAACTGGAGGAGATTTCCCCCTCCCCCGAATCCAGTAAATACAAACGAAAAAAAAAACATAACAGTAGGAAAACATATCGGCCACATCTGAGACAGGTTGGTTATTAGAAGAAAGAAAAAAAACTGTTTTATTTGACAGACAGATAAACAAGTTGTCACAAACTGCGTGATTAAAAACAAGTCACCGGACAAACAACAAAGAATGCGAATAGAATATTTCTGACGTTTGCGTTTACTTCTTCTTCAGGATGTTGATGATCATGGCTCTCCACAATTTCCTGACCTTTGTAGATCTTACTAAATTATGTTTCGTCGTTATCTGTCCCCAACCTTGTTCTACCATCCAAGCTTGCCAAGTAGATTATGCATTGTTTTCCTCTGTCCCTCTTACCTTCAATCATCCCGTGAGTATCAAATTTTCCAAGCCCTCTTTCCTCATTGCCTGCCCTAGAATTTTCAACTGTCTCTTCCTGATGTTAAGCATAAGTGTCCTTTTCCTTACCATTGTTCGTAATACATAGAATCAGAAAGTGACTGTTGAAATTTCTCGGGCACGTAATGAGGAAAGAGAGCTTAGAAATTTTGACACCTACAGAACATATTGAAGGCAAGAGGAACAGAAGAAAGCAGTACATAGACTACCTCAAGAGTTTGTGTAAATGTTTGGCAGAACAGAGATTACTTTACTGAGGGCTGCAAAGGACAGAAAATATTGGAGAGCTATGATCACTCCTGTCCTGAAAAGACATGGCCGATAGTAGAAGATGTAATATTCTCGCTTTCTGAAATCAAGACCTTATTTAATCATCCTGGTTTCAAAGCAGACAATCCAAAACAAAAGGAACCGTTTTAATATGGATCTAAAAAGATAAATCTCGATTTCAAGAAGAGGGTATATATCAGTGTTGTGCATTATTAGCAAAAACAAAAATTCCAATGAAATATTTAATTCACTACAAGAGAAAATATTCTCCACTTCTTTTTTTCAAATATTCCTTAACAATTTTATGATTGAGCAAAGTTTGAGGAACTTTTAAATTAAGTTACAAATATTCAAATGTGAAGGAATTAAAGTTACCTCCCTTGAAACATTCAATTTTTGACGAGAGAGAGAGTTACATTTTAAGTCACAAACAAAGATACAAAAATTAACAATCAATTATGATTGGGGAAAATTACGTAAAGTAAATTCGTGCAAGTCAGCAAAGAATGTATTTTATAATTCTCACTTAATACTTCTCTTCAAACTATTGAAAAAGAAAAAGAATGAACAGGACTGTAATTTTGTTGCTCCTGACAAATAGACTAACATATTTTTGGTTAATCAGAAAGTGAAAATAGATACCAAATTATAATTGGTCTCAAATAAAATAAAACCTTATATTCTAATTGACATTTATATTGGTGATGGAGCCAAAAGAACATCTTCTATTGAAATAAAAAATACAGGGTGTCCCAAAAGAATCGTTTGAATCGTTATAACTTATTCAATTTATGTATTTTGACTTGTAAATAAGATTAATACAAGCGAAAGAATACACAAAGAATTTGAGAGTAAAATATACAAAAAGTATAGAAAATTAACTTTAATAAGATAAAAGCTACTTGGGGCAATGGCAGAATGTTCATATAATAATGAGTTCACATCAAATGTTCAACCTGGTTGCCGTTCTGTTCAATACACTTTTCATATCTTGAAGAAATAGACCTACAAAAGTCCAGTATCATTTCCTCTGGTATTTAAGCACATTTTTCTTCAACTGCTACTCTCATTTCAGCAATTGTTTCCTGCTGTAAATTTTGTCTTTTAGAACCCCCTCAAAAAGAAATCCAAAGGTGTCAAATCTGGTGATCTAGGTGGGTATTCAACTGTCTCTTTTCTTCCAATCCATCTGTTTTACATATTTTCATCCATATAAGTTCTCACATCACGGTCATGTATTATTAACTATTAATATTTATAGAGTGTATACATTATTTTGGGACACCCTATATATCAGGATTGTGCATTATCTCTACGCTGAATACCTATTTTTTTTGATTTTGTTATTACTCACATAAAAAAAAATCTTGTGTTTTATATTACACTAGCAGTAGAGCCCGGCGTTGCCCGGGTATGTAACAGTAAGAGATAGATCAAGTATCGACCATCATAAAGACTGAAAAATAAAACTGACAAAGATTATTGCTTAAGGTTGACGGACATGCATGTCTTAATTAGTTTTTTTTTTTTTTTTACGAATTGGTCAAACCCAAACTCAAACAAAAACATTGTTTTCAATCGTTATGAGTCTATCGATTGAATAGAATTTTATTATAAATAATTGTCTTTTAAATAGAATTTTTGAAGCATTTTGAATGTAAAAATAAAGAAAAATGTGTGCAAGACAATAAGAAACACTACCTGCCAAAAAAAAGTGAAGTTTTGTTGAAATCGGTTGAAAAATGTAGGAAATCCGATCCAATATATAAACGTACAGAGACACACACACACAACCTGAGTTTTATAATAAGTATGATCTGTGGGCAAAAAAGTACCCTAGCTTAATTTTCATTCGTTATTATCTCCCTTGCGTAGAAGCAGTTCCCGGTCATTAATCGTAATTAATTATATTAATGGTAATTTCAATTTCTTGTCCATAATCAACGTGAATAATTGACTTCCTGATTATACGAAAGGAAAAAAAAAACGAAAGAAAAAATGCTGATTAATTTTAGTGAGTTCAACAAAATTTGCATTAAATTGCATTATTTCAGTTTGAACATCAAACGAGATTTTTAATACGGTCGTTGAAATAGCTTCTTTTTATTTGATCCTCCCAACACCACATTCTACCTATTTACTCTCGCCAAGACCACATTGTTTTTATTTGAGCCTTTCAACATTCCACCCTTTTACGTGATCCTCTCAAAAAACAATTCTTTTTTTTTATTTGATCTCCACAAAACCACATTCTTCTC